TTATGAGCACTATTCAAGTAATCTGTATTGATCAAAATTGATATCAAATTTGCAAGAGAATAGTCAAATTCAACACAAACAACAAGTGGCATAATTTTTTCGAAAGGGTCCACAAATCATTTACAATTAAAAATAAGGAGCCACAAGCTCAATCATCAACAAAAATAGTGTTACACACAATGATAGCTCAAAACCTAAATATATACACAAAACAAGATAGTCATAAAAGGTCACACAAAAGGTAGGCCTCACCCCACCACAAATAAAGTCATATGTCCTCAAAGGCAAACAAAACCAAAATATCCAAAATTCAAAATAAAAGTAAGACAGAGAGGGAGGTAAAGAAGGGATCATGTCTACTCAGTCACTCCATCTGTCTAGACATCAGAGCCCAGTGCATCAATATGGACTTGGGTATCAGTTCCCAAAGTCACCTAGGAAGGAATAACAGATGCACTAGGATCAGCCAATGGTGTATCCACTAAAGAAGCCTGCACAACTGCATCTACCATAGCTTCCTCAGTCTCAGTAAGGCCCTCATAGAAAATTTTCCTCGACCACCTCAAGCATCTCCTTATCAGTCTCCGCCTCAGACTCCAGATTAGTTGTCTCCTCAACTCTAACCTTATCTCCGGTGGTAGCCAAATGCTTATTTGGCACATCTGGGATCTCCACCATCCCAAAAATCTTGGACATGTCGGTGGACTTCAGCTGATCCACATCACTCCTCAACACAACAATAACTGCCTTCAGTGCCCTCACCTCCTCGGTGTCCCTTTGGTCACACTCACACACCGATATCGTTGCCGCAAGAGCATCAATGGCAGTGCTCAATGTTGTCACAACATCAGCTAGGGCAGTCTGGATCATGCCCAGAATAGAGTTCTCGAGTCTGGAAGCCCGATGACCAGCAGAATGGGCAAGCTTGCCCATCCGTATTATAGAAGCCTGAGGGACCGGAGTTCGAGAAACAACAACAGCAAGTCTAGGAGGCAGTGCAGCAGCAGAAGGACCTGGAGTATCAGAAGGAGCAAAAGTAGAGTTACCTGAAGGCCGAGGGGCCAGAGTAGGCAAAACTGCCTCTGCATATAGTGAGTATGTGTCCACAACCAGGGAAGATTCCACCAGGAGTGTTTCTCCTTCTTCTCCGCCTGATACTTTAGATACTCTGCCTCGATCCTCTGAATATCGGTTGAGGATGTGGGAATAATTTCCACATCCTTCTTTTTATCTCTAGGAACCCGAGCTAGTCTGCATAGCTCGGTGATCAACACCGAGAAGTTAAGTGAGGTATGGTGCTTCTTGGACCTTATGACCATTACCTACTTAATGATCATCCTCAAATTAATTTGCTTTCTTGCAATGATCGTTCCAAGACAAGCTACCTTCGAGTGGCGAATGACGAACTTATTCTAGGATGGCATAACAGTATTGCTAATAAAGCCAAACCAGTATCTAGCAACTACAAGTAAGTCCCTCTTTTCTATCAGGAGCCTTTCCTCTAACTACCTTTGAGTGCCATCACATATGAAAGGGGCGACCTAACTTTTTATTCCCTCAAATAGCTTAGTCTTCATCCTATATTGGTGAGCGTTATCAATGTTGTTAGTGCACTCCAGAACCTCATTAATAGTAGTAATGTCATACAACGGTTTCTTGCCCCGAACAACTACATGATCACCCAGTTGGAATACCGCTGCCTGCTTCTTTCTTTGTGTTATCAATGCTCCATAAGTAGTGTAAATTCCCAGACCCAATTTGGGATATAAGAGCCCCGAGGTCTAGTGAATAGCTGGACCTTGTGTGACTTTATGCAGCACATTATCTCTGGGTACCTGTCAATTACCCCATCCGTGGAGAGACGCTTCTCCTAAATAATTGTCCTTAGCCCCTCAGTCTTTAATTTGTTCCTTGAGTTGGGAGGAGGACCCTGTACAGGAGGTGCTAGGACTATAGCCTGCTCTGGGGCTAGAGTATGAGAAATGGAGGCCTGAGGAGTCCTGATCCTAGATGGATCATTTATCCTCTTGGACTCTAGGTTTGGCCTCTTTCCCGTTACTAGCTTATCATCATCTCAAGCTACAATTTGAGGGTCTTGGTGCTTACCCTCACTCTAAGAAGTAGTGAGGTGGGTGGCACATATGCTGTCCCTATCGGAGCTGACCTCCGGTGACGCTGGTCCTTTCACTTTGACTTTTCCCTTCCCACCGGTCGTGGGAAGTTTGGTGGCCTTGACCTTGGATGCGACTGCATCCTCATTTAGTGTTACCCCCTTGGCCTTCGTTTGGGGTGACATGTTTGTACCTGCAACCTTTGGTCTAGCCATATCCGCAAAACATCAGGAAAATGTTAGAAACATTTCAATGAAAAGCACAGAAGAATAATTGCAGACAGACTCATCGAATAGGTCGGCAAGTCGTCAAATCACTTTGGCGAGCTAGATCTTGTCTGCCGAAAGGATTGGCTCAAAATTCTAAAAAGAATTTTTGCAAGTCGATGATCAGAAAACCTTTTGGTGGATCATCAACATCATTCGGTGAGCAAGGATTAGCCTGCTGAAAGTTACAGTACAATTTAAGCTACATGGGTGCAGACAAAGGGCAAACAAGAGGACTTTCGACGAGTCAACGAGTTCTTTCGGCGACGTTAATCTTCTCGCCAAAAGTTAAAGAGTCAAACTACAAGTATATGATGAAATTAAGGGTGAGAGGGGACCTTTGGCGAAGCATCGAGTGGTTGGGCGAGCTCGACCCAGCTCGCCTAATGACCTAACCTTAAATGCCGATAAACATAAGATTGAAATGCTAGTCGGCAATGTAGTCCTAATCCGAGCATAAATCAATGACTAAAATACTCTAAAATACAAAAAAATTTGAAACTAAAGTGCGGGTGTGATTTTGTGAAGTTCAAAAGTAAGGGAAAGTAAAAGAGTTGGAAGTTTAAACCTTTGGCCTTTTAAAAATCGTCCAGTTCTCACCCATTAGGGGACGTTGGTCGTGCTCGCTGACCCACTCAGCGACACGCCAAATGTTCACTTACGTCGTCAGGTTTTAGAGGACCTTCAGTTGAGGTGGGGCTCTAAACGGCGGTTAAGATCGCGATCACCGACCTGGTCGGCGACTTGCCAATAATTTCCTTGGCTCACCGAGTTTTATTGACTCCAATGTAAAGTTGTCTTGAGTCCAACGACGGTCTGGGTTGGGGTCGCCGACCTCTTCGGCTATCCATCGACTAGACATCTAGCTCGCCAACTTGCACTTTTCACACCCTTTGACATGCACATTCAACATACCATTATTGCAAACTTAATAAGAAAGAAAATAAAACTTGGGTTGCCTCCAAAGAAGCTCCTTAGTTAACATTTGTGGCACGACGCAAGTTCACCTTCAAGCCTCATTCTTGGGGATGACCATAGTGTCATTAGGCAACCCCTCTTGCTGTCTCGTGTATATATAGGACGAGATATGACCCATTTGGGTTTTCAACAACTCAATCGACACTGAATGGGAAGTGACGGTCTGGCTAAGGGTCGGCACATACTCTTTCATCTTTTTCAAGATCTTGTCTAACCACTCAACTTTGTTGAGGATACGAGAAAACATATCCTTAGACCAGCCACCTTTTAAATCCTTTGGCTTTTGGCGCTCGTGGGGAGGCACATATCTATCTTTCTCCCCATGCTTCAAATTGGGATTTCGGTCCCTCCATTCTCGGTCACGATCTTTCTAACCTTCATCCCTGCTCCAACATTGGGTACCACCCTGCCTTGGTTAGTTTGAACAATAACAACTGCCTTGGTTGGCTAGTAAATTCATCTCTTCATTGTACAAAGCTTCAAACTTTGCCTCTTCACGATTAGCACACCCGATACCCCTGCCATTGACACCTCAAGCAGCAGCCCCGATGACATTTTTGGACAAAATGTCAAGTTGTGTCATGATCTTGGCCATGTTCTTGTCCCTCTCTTGGTCTTTCTCCATTTGTTGTTAGTCAATTTAAACGTGAGAATGGCGACCTGGTCTTCATGGGTTTAGCAATCCCTGGTTATGACAGTCATGCCATCGAAGAGCTGAGCCGCTATCATATAAGGTTGCTACATCAAACCTCCAGGAGAACGTTGGTCGACAATACCCTTATGTACCGAATCAAGACTCCGGTAAAAAAACTGCAGCAACACGTTGTCAGACAAGCCCTTAGTTGAGCATTGACGCACCATCTTCTTGAATAGCAGCCAAGTTTCATGAATTGGTTCACCTTCTAGACGCTTGAAGCTCTGAATGCTCCCCCGAAGATTCATCACCTTCGAAGGAGCAAAAAATCGCACTTGATATAAAGTAACCAACTCCTTCCACGAAGTGATTGATTTACTTGGCAATTCAGTCAACCACTTGCATGTTTCTCCCATCAAAGAGAACCCAAACAACCCCAACCGGACCTACTCTTGGGAGATGTTCTTGAAGGAGAACGGTTCGTATACACCCACGAAATTTCTAATATGCTCATGGGAATCCTCATGAGCCAAACCCCTGAAAAGCTCCTTTAGTTGCAAGAGTTGCAACATAGTACTTGTGATGTGGAAAACCATATTGCCTTCGGCCGGAGGCAAGCGAATGACACCAATACCACCCAGAAGATGGGATTCATTAGCATTAGGCTCGTTGACATCGTGAAGTTTTCCAATGTAATATTGATGGCCATTGCTACCGTTCACTATCATACTTCCTATTTTCACACACAAACAAGCAAAGAAAAACTAAAATTAACTAAGTATCACTATGATTAGCAAGAGCAAAATACAAAACAAAAGTAAGACAAAGAGGGAGGTAAAGAAAGGATCATATCTACTCAGTCACTCCATCAGTCTAGACATTATAGCCCGGTGTATCAATATGGAGTTGGGTATCAGTTCTCGGAGTCACCTAAGATGGAATAGCAACTGCATTAGGATAAGCCAAGGGTGCATCCATCAAAGAAGCCTGCACAACTGCATCTACCATAGCTTACTCAGTCTCAGCAAGGCCCTCATATAAAGTTTCCTCAACCAGCTCAAACATCTCCTCATCAGTCTCCGCCTCAGACTCCAGATTAGTTGTCTCCTCAACTCTACCCCCATCTCCGGTGGTAGCCAGACTCTTATCTGGCATATCTGGGATCTCCACCATCCCAAAAATCTTGGACATGTCGGTGGACTTCAGCTGATCCACATCACTCCTCAACACAACAACGGTCTTCAGTGTCGTCACCTCCTCGGTGTCCCTTTGGCCACACTCACACACCGATATCTTTGTGGTATCAATGCTCCATAAGCAGTGTAGATTCCCAAACCCAATTTGGGATATAAGATCCATGAGGTCTAGTGAATAGTTGGACCTTGTGTGACTTTATGCAGCACATTATCTCTGGGTACCTGTCAATTACCCCATCCGTGGACAGACGCTTATCCTCAATAAATGTCCTTATCCCCTCAGTTTTTAATTTGGTCATTGACTTGGGAGGAGGACTCTATATAAGAGGTGCTAGGACTATAGCCTGGTCTGGGGCTAGAGTAGGAGAATTGGTGGCCTGAGGAGTCCTGATCCTAGATGGATCATTTATCCTTTTGGACTGTAGGTCTGCCCTCTTTCCCGCTACTGGCTATCATCATCTGAAGCTACAATTTGAGGATCTTGGTGCTCACCCTCACTCTAAGAAGTAGTGAGGTGGGTGGCACATATTCCGTCCCTATCGGAGCTGACCTCCGGTGACGCTGGTGCTTTAACTTTAACTTTTCACTTCCCACCAGTCGTGGGAAGTTTGGTGGCTTTGATCCTGGATACGGCTGCATCCTCATCTAGTGTTACCCCCTTGGCGTTCTTTCGGGGTGACATGTTTGTACCTGTAATCTTTGGTCTAGCCATGTCTGCAAAACATCAGGAAAAAGTTAGAAACATTTCAATGAAAAGTACAGAGTAATAATTGTGTCGTCAGGTTTTAGAGGACCTTCAGTTGAGGTGGGGCTCTAAACGGCGGTTCAGATCGCGATCACCGACTTGGTCGGCGACTTGCCAATAATTTCCTTGGCTCACCGAGTTTTATAGACTCCAATGTAAAGTTGTCTTGAGTCCAACGATGGTCTGGGTTGGGGTCGCTGACCTCTTCGGCTATCCATCGACTATACATCTAGCTTGCCAACTTGCACTTTTCACACACTTTCACATGCACATTAAACATACCATTATTGCAAACTTAATAAGAAAGAAAATAAAACTTGGGTTGCCTCCAAAGAAGCTCCTTAGTTAACATTTGTGGCACGACGCAAGTTCACCTTCAAGCCTCATTCTTGGGGATGACCATAGTGTCATTAGGCAACCCCTCTTGCTGTCTCGTGTATATATAGGACGAGATATGACCCATTTGGGTTTTCAACTACTCAATCGACACTGAATGGGAAGTGACGGTCTGGCTAAGGGTCGGCACATATTCTTTCATCTTTTTCAAGATCTTGTTTGACCACTCAACTTTGTTGAGGATACGAGAAAGCATATCCTTAGACCAGCCACCTTTTAAATCCTTTGGCTTTTGGCGCTCGTGGGGAGGCACATATCTATCTTTCTACCCATCCTTCAAATTGAGATTTCGGTCCCTCCATTCTCGGTCACGATCTTTCCAACCTTCATCCTTGCTCCAACCTTGGGTACCACCCTGCCTTGGTTAGTTTAAACGATAACAACTGTCTTGGTTGGCTAGGAAATTCACCTCTTCATTTAACAAAGCTTCAAACTTTGCCTTTTCACGATTAGCACACCCGATACCCATGACATTGACACCTCAAGCAGCAGCCCCGATGACATTTTTGGACAAAATGTCAAGTTGTGTCATGATCTTGGCCATATTCTTGTCCCTGTCTTGGTCTTTCTCCATTTGTTGTTGGTCAATTTAAACGTGAGAGGGGCGACCTGGTCTTCATGGGTTTACCACTCCCAGGTTATAACAGTCATGCCATCGAAGAGCTGAGCCGCTATCATATAAGGTTGCTATATCAAACCTCCAGGAGAACGTTGGTCGGCAATACCCTTATGTACCGAATCATGACTCTGGTAAAAAAACTGCAGCAACACGATGTCAGGCAAGCTCTTAGTTGAGCATTGACGCACCATCTTCTTGAATAGCAGCCAAGTTTCATGGATTGGTTCACCTTCTAGACGCTTGAAGCTATTAATGCTCTCCCGAAGAGTCATCACCTTCGAGGGAGGAAAAAATCGCACTTGATATAAAGTAACCATTTCCTTCCACAAAGTGATTGATTTACTTGGCAATTCAGTCAACCACTTGCATGCTTCTCCCATCAAAGAGAACCCAAACAACCCCAACCGGACCTACTCTTGGGAGATGTTCTTGAAGGAGAACGGTCCGTATACACCCACAAAATTTCTAATATGCTCATGGGAATCCTCATGAGCCAAACCACTGGAAAGCTCCTTTAGTTGCAAGAGTTGCAACAGAGTACTTGTGATTTGGAAAACCGTATTGCCTTCGGCCGGAGGCAAGCGAATGACACCAATACCACTTAGAAGATGGGAGTCATTAGCATTAGGCTCGTTGACATCGTGAAGTTTTCCAATGTAATATTGATGGCCATTGCTACCGTTCACTATCATACTTCCTATTTTCACACACAAACAAGCAAAGAAAAACTAAAATTAAGTAAGTATCATTATGATTAGCAAGAGCAAAATTCAAAACAAAAGTAAGACAAAGAGGGAGGTAAAAAAAAAGGATCATATCTACTCAGTCACTCCATCAGTCTAGACATTATAGCCCGGTGTATCAATATGGAGTTGGGTATGAGTTCTCGGAGTCACCTAAGAAGGAATAGCAGCTGCATTAGGATAAGCCAATGGTGCATCAACCAAAGAAGCATGCACAACTGCATCTACCATATCTTCCTCAGTCTTAGCAAGGCCCTCATACAAAGTTTCCCCAACCAGCTCAAGCATCTCCTCATCAGTCTCCACCTCAGACTACAGATTAGTTGTCTCCTCAACTCTACCCCTATCTCCGGTGGTAGCCAGACTCTTATCTGGCACATCTGGGATCTCCACCATCCCAAAAATCTTGGACATGTCGATGGACTTCAGGTGATCCACATAACTCCTCAACACAACAACAACGGTCTTCAGTGTCGTCACCTCCTCAGTGTCCCTATGGCCACGCTCACACACCGATATCTTTGTGGTATCAATGCTCCATAAGCAGTGTAGATTCCCAAACCCAATTTGGGATATAAAATCCACGAGGTCTAGTGAATAGTTGGACCTTGTGTGACTTTATGCAGCACATTATCTCTGGGTACCTGTCAATTACCCCATCCGTGGACAGACGCTTATCCTCAATAATTGTTTTTATCACCTCAGTCTTTAATTTGTTCATTGACTTGGGAGGAGGACCCTGTACAGGAGGTGCTAGGACTATAGCCTGGTCTGGGGCTAGAGTAGGAGAATTGGTAGCCTGAGGAGTCCTGATCCTAGATGGATCATTTATCCTTTTGGACTGTAGGTCTGCCCTCTTTCCCGCTAATAGCTTATCATCATCTGAAGCTACAATTTGAGGCTCTTGGTGCTCACCCTCACTCTAAGAAGTAGTGAGGTGGGTGGCTCATACACCGTCCCTATTAGAGCTGACCTCCCGGAGAACGTTGGTCAGAAACACCTTTATGCAACACGTTGTCAGGCAATCCATGAGTTCGGCATTGACGCACCAACTTCTTGAATCGCAGCTAAGTTTCATGGATTGGTTCACCTTCTAGACTCTTGAAGCTCTAAATGCTATCCCGAAGAGTCATCATCTTTGAGGGAGGAAAAAATCGCACTTGAAATGAAGTAACCAACTCCTTCCACGAAGTGATTGATTTACGTGGCAATTCAGCCAGCCACTTCCATGCTTCTCCCATCAAAGAGAACCGGAACAACCTCAACCGGACCTACTCTTAGGAGATGTTCTTGAAGGAGAACGGTCCGCATACACCTACGAAATTGCTAATATGCTCATGGGAATCCTCATGAGCCAAACCAATGAAAAGACCCTTTAGTTGCAAGAGTTGCATCATAGTACTTGTGATGTGGAACATCGTATTGCATTCGGCCGGAGGCAACCGAAAGACACCAATACCACCCAGAAGATGGAAGTCATTAGCATTAGGCTTGTTGACATCGTTAAGGTTTCCAATGTCATCTTGATAGCCATTGGCTGCCATTGGTACCGTTCACTATCATACTTCCTATTTCCACACACAAACAAGCAAAGCAAAACTAAAATCTAGTAAGTATCACTATTATTAGCAAGAGAAAAATTCAAAACAAAAGTAAGACAGAGAGAGAGGTAAAGAAGGGATCATATTTACTCAGTCACTCCATCTGTCTAGACATCAGAGCCCGGTGGATCAATATGGCCTTGGGTATCAGTTCCCGGAGTCACCTAACAAGAAATAGCAGCTGCACTAGGATCAGCCAAGGGTGTATCCACCAAAGAAGCCTGCACAACTGCATCTACCATAGCCTCATCAGTCTCAGTAAGGACCTCATACAAAGTTTCCTCAACCACCTCAAGCATCTCCTCATCAGTCCAGTTCTGAGGAGTCCTGATCCTAGATGAATCATTTATCCTCTTGGACTGTAGGTCTGCCCTCTTTCCCGCTAATAGCTTATCATCATCTGAAGCTACAATTTGAGGCTCTTGGTGCTCACCCTCACTCTAAGAAGTAGTGAGGTGGGTGGCACATACACCGTCCCTATCAGAGCTGACCTAAGGTGACGCTGGTGCTTTCACTTTGTCTTTTCCCTTCCCACCAGTCATGGGAAGTGTGGTGGCCTTGACCCTGGATGTGGCTGCATCCTCATTTAATGTTACCCCCTTGGCCTTCTTTCGGGGTGCCATGTTTCTACCTGTAATCTTTGGTCTAGCCATGTCTGCAAAACATCAGGAACAAGTTAGAAACATTTCAATGAAAAGCACAGAATAATAATTGCAGACAGACTCATCGAACAGGTCGACAAGTCGTCAAATCACTTTGGCGAGCTAGATCGGGCTCGCCGAAAGGATTGGCTCAAAATTCTCAAAAGAATTTTGGCAAGTCCACGATGGGAAAACCTTTTGGCGGATCATCGACATCATTCGGTGAGCAAGAATTAGCCCGTTGAAAGTTACAGTACAATTTAAGCTACACGGATGCAGACAAAGGGCAAACAAGAGGACTTTCAGTGAGTCAACGAGTTCTTTCGGAGACCGCAATCTTCATGCCAAAAGTTAACGAGTCAAACTACAAGTATAGCATGAAATTAAGGGTGTGAGGGGACCTTCGGCGAAGCATCGA